CTTTAGAAGGTTTCAGCAGCTTCTTTAGAAAGTTTCAGCAGCTTTAGGTGTCAGCAGCTTCAGCAGTCGTTCAGCTCTCAGCATGCCCATACATTTCTCTGGTTCTGTTTTGTTTATTCTCTTCGGTCACGGTAACTCGTTTGTTTTAAACGTCTGTGTCTTTTCTCTTTTTGCACTCGTCTTTCTTGAGTTTCATTTTTTCACGTTTGTCTGTCAGATACTTCCTCCTGCGTTGAGCAGAAACTTCGGCTGTGAAGTCCGATGCTGTTTCTCCGCTGTTTGTTTTAAAAACAGAGCGAGAAACTCACAAACTCATTCAATCTGTTCTGTTAGCTGATGTAACCCTCGGCTGATGTAACCCTCGGCTGATGTAACCCTCGGTGAGGTTCATCTGTGGTTTTAGAGGCTGCTGGAGCATTTTTGAGCTTCAGGAATAAAAGCTTTTACCTTCAGCTGTTTCAGATTAAAGTGGATAAAACAATGAAGCATCATGAGCATCACGCTGAACGTACCGACCTTTTCAAATACCAGCTCTGAGAATTGTTCACATTTCTCCCTCAAATAAACAAATAAATAAATAAATGTGGTTTCTGTCTGCGCGGAGCCTCAAACGTTCCTGTCTTCAGTTTTATTATTTTAGCTTCTAAACAAACAAACATCTTGTTTTTAATAATAAAACTGTTTTATGTCCTGTTTGATTTAAGACGTCTGGATTTAAAATGACTGGATTCGTTTTATTATTTTGAAAGATCCTCGACTCTGATGGATGTGGATTAGAAAACTCCATCGTCCTGACCTGAACCTAAACCCGCAGCCCGGCGGGTCAGAACTCGGAGGTTTGATGGAGGCTCACCCTGTTCGGCTGGTTCACGTCGTAGCTGTTCAACGAGCCGAGGAGATGCTGCAGACCCGGAACGTTGTCGTCGTTTATGGCATGGATGATGGCCTTCATCACAAAAGAGTCTTCCTCGTCCTAAACAGGAGGGACACAGAAACTGAACTTAGTCCTGGATCTGCAGGGAGAAGGTCCACGTTAGTCCTGGATCTGCAGGGAGAAGGTCCATGTTAGTCCTGGATCTGCAGGGAGAAGGTCCACGTTAGTCCTGGATCTGCAGGGAGAAGGTCCACATTAAGAAACTAGGACTTGAAAGGAAAGTTCTCCAGCTCAACGTGAAGAAGTTTCTTAAGTGTCTCGTAAATTTACAAAACATGAAAATATATGACATATGTAAAATATATAAAATAAGTAAAATGTATAACATATATTAAATATATAAAATGTGTAAAATATGTAAAATGTATAAAATATGTAAAATATATAACATATGTTAAATATATAAAATGTATAAAATATTTAAAATATATCAAATATGTAAAAAATAAGTAAAATGTATAAAATTAAAAAAAAGAAAAATGTATAAAATATGTAAAATGTATAAAATATGTTAAATATATAAAATGTATAAAAAATGTAAAATGTATAAAATAAAAAAAATAAGTAAAATGTATAAAATATGTAAAATGTATAAAATATGTCAAATATATAAAATATGTAAAATATGTAAAAAAAATATGTAAAATATACAAAATATGTAAAATATACAAAATATATAAAATGTATAAAATATGTACAATATATAAAATATATAAAATATGTTGCTTTAATTTAAATAAACTAAATGACGTTTTGTAGTAAATAAAACTGAAGGAACAAACACATTTAGTAAAATAAAAGCAGAACATGATTTTGGTGTTTAATTCTGACCAACACACAGACCCTCAGCAGCTCTCAGTGGACCGACCTACACCTCTGGTTCTGGTCTTTGCTCTGACTGGACCGACCCTGAACTAAAGGAGGTGCTGCCACAGGAGGAAGTTCCTGCTCTCAACGGCCTGTCAATAATTAACCTCCTCTCTGTGTTTTTGTTTCAGAGACGTTCAGGCTCAGTGAAAATCTGAAATCCCTCTGGGGTTCGACCCGTTTATCTGCAGGACTGGAGTCTGGACCCGGTTTCAAAACAAACTCGTGACCTGCAGCAGTTTGGAGGAAAGCCTGGAGATTCTCAGAAAGATTGTCAGACTGGAAATACCAGAGCTGCAGCAGCTGGGAGCGTCCAGGCCCCAGAGAGGAAGTGACATCATGAAAGGAACGCTGCGGCCTCGGCTCGGTTCTTGTCCACAGACAGAACCCGTGGAGGTCTTTGTCAGGGTGACTGTCTACATGGCGTTTCCAGCTGCACAGTCAGTGAAATGGAGGACTGTGGGCCCAGATGGAGGACTGTGGACCCAGATGGAGGACTGTGGACCCAGATAGAGGACTGTGGACCCAGATGGAGGACTGTGGACCCAGATGGAGGACT